TACATTATTATCAAATGCATGTTTATTGAAAAGGAAAGGTATTTTACAAGTAATCCTTTCAAATTTTTTGAAAAATATATCTAAAAACCCATCTTTAATTAATATTTTTAAAAATCAATTATTAGATTTAAAGTTCTAAATATACTGATCATGTCTGTCAATTTATATCAAATTTTGATTAGATTGATTTAATAGATATAACCAATTTATTAATTATAAAAAATTTAAAATCATTAAATATATATCAATAAATAAAATTTTTTTAATTAAAAGGAGAGGACCTGTACGTACTATACTAATTCCTTGAAACTGTCACTCATTTACTTTATAAAAATATTAATCCAAATTACTTGTAAAAAACAAATTAAAACATGAAAAAATGTGGAGAGTAGTTATATAATTAATGTCAGGTGGACTTAGCTCATATAGGTGGTAAAACCATGGAAGATTTGCAGAAAAATTAATACGATCAGTCGATCACAATGGTCTGGAGACATGATTGATGTTTTTCTTTTGTACTGAGAAAGATTACAACTTCCGTTTGATAACGCTCCTTTATATTTTAATTTTTAACTTTTATATTTTTTATTATTTTAAAAATATATAACATATTAATTAAAATAACTATTAAATATATTTTATATATTTTTAATATATTAAAAGACCAAATAACTAATAGTTAGAGCCACAGACCAACACTCCTAAACTAAACCTGCATCTCATGACCCAATTGTAGCTGCAGACCATTGGAGTCTTATAATTAAGGCCGAACTCTTCATTCTTTTTTCATAAAGGCAAGGCAATCAATCCTCCTTTTACTATAGAGTTTTAAATTCCGCCTCTTTTTTGGTATCAAAATTGGGATAAATTTAGTTTAGGAACCCAAATTAGCACCCACACAAAAGTATAAGGACCAAAATTAAGGTTTAACCTAATAATAATTTAGTGATTAAGTATAAGCTTTTAAGATTAATGTAAACTGATATTTTGTCCACACATTAATTTTTACCACGTAAAATTTCTATGTCATAAATTTGAAGGAAAAAATGATTTTACCGTCGATTTTTCTTTTAATTGGCAATAGAATATTTTATTTAGAAAAATATAAAATCACATAGCTTATTACCTAGCCTACACTGCACCCAGCTTCCACAAATTTGCCCAAACCTCTATTCACCACCCTCTTTCACACAATCAACGGGATTCATAATCCAATCTGATAGAAGCATATAGTTTTATGATTTGCCCTAAACCAAGCCTAGGTTTTAATTTGACCTAAATCCACCATTTCCTCGACACTGCATGTATTCTTTATTCTAAAAAGCTATCCTACTGTTTCTCCAATTCCAAATAGACCAGAAACAGCAAAACTTAAAGAATAACTAAAAAATAACTGTCAATTAACATGCCATATAAGCTAAAATTTAATGGAAGGAACAAAAAAAAAGAGTCAAAATTTAAAGATATTTATGTAGTTTAGGAACCAAATAAGAAATTTATAATAAAGTTGAGGGACCAAAATAGAGTTTTAACCAAAAGTGAAGAGTTCTCAGGCTGAACTGAAGGGCCCACCAAGGTTTCTCTACCTATATTCTGTCACATTTTCTAACAACATTTCTTTTAGAAATATAATTAAAAAAAATATTTTTATATTACATTTTCATATAATGTTATATAGTATTTAATAGTAAACTCTCTTTTCACTTTATTAAGAATTATAATATTATATGTATTTATTTATTTAATAATATAATGAAGTTGTAAATAAAAAAGGATTGTGCACCTGTCCCTTGCGGCCTAGTGGTAATAGCCACCCGGTGCATTCCCCTTTCTCCGGGTTGGGTTCGAATCCCACCCCTTGCAAATATGTTCAAAAAAAAAAAAAAAAGGATTGTACTTATATCATTATCTTTTCTTTTAAGTACATTGGGAATTAGAAAAGAATAATTAGCTGCTTGATAATAGAGGGGCTTTGAACCTTCTTATTTTTACCCTAATTTAAGTAAAATTGTTAAGTTAATAAATATTAAATTAGCCAAATTCTTATTAGTAAATTTGGCTATAGCTTATACGATAGAGATCTTCGTTTTTTCCATATCCTTTTCTATCCATCTCAAATTAATTTTGAATATGAAAACTCCATTTTCATTTCAGTTTAAAGGTAAAGGTGACATTAATTTATGTGCAGTTCAAAACTAATTCTTTTTTGTTTTAAGTAAAAACAGATCATTCACCTTGAAATTAATTAGGAAATTAATCATAAGGGATTATTTTCTTATTATACCTTTGTTAAAGGTTCAACTTTAATCAATAAAGTCCCTTACCAACTAATTAAGCCACTAATCTTTAGGTGTAAAACCTCAAAATTTAAGTTCTTATCAAGTGAGATATTTGGTTGAAGGTTTCTTTAGCCCTGATTATCAATACATTTTTTGTTTGACAATAAAATAATAGTATAGTTCTTTTTCATACATTAATCCACCTTAGGCACATATTACTATGAGGTTTTACATTAAGTTCATATATATTTTCTTATCTTTGTTGCATCATGACGGGTTGTTTCAACTTGTAAGACCTTGAGACTTTAAATTAAAAATTTCATGTGAGTTTAATTAAACAATGAAATAAGTGTAGAGGAATTTGAGAAAGGGGATCATCTCATATAAATTTTTTTTAAAATAGCCCTATCTATTTTTGTTTTTAGCTCCTTGAGAAAAAAAAAATCCAAATTATAGCTAATTATTAAATCAAGTAATCTAGAGTTGTAGGATTTTTTTTTTCCTGGCCTTCTATACGATTTATTTTGGGGTTTTTTTTTTAACAAATACAAATTCAAACTAGACGCAATTTGTGCTCCTTTTTAACAATAATTAATTATGCAAAGATAAAAGTTCACTTTTATTTTATTAATTGTTTAATTAAAATGATAAAAATAGTATTAATAGTGAAATTAATGTTAGTTTTTGTATTTTTGATGCCAATTAATGTAAAAAATGTACAATAATTGCATCGTGAATTTATGCCTTTACATAGGACATAGCTTAAAAAAACTCTTTATTCTTAATGATAAAAGGAAGACATAATATCTTGAATCAAATCAAATAAAATAGTAATTAAGCATTTGGGAATCTCTTGAACTCCTAGTTAGATGTTAAAGGTTGCATATAGAGCAATTATGATTAGAGAGATTATATTTGAGATTCAAGTATAGTTCTGGGCCCAATACACTTTCATCTTACCCTTGGAACTAGAAAAGACAATCATGCTGCTTTAATCTCAATTAAGCAGGCATCTTTCCACAGACACCCCACTTATGTACCCTCGACGGTGACTTAACATCTTCAATTACAAAAGTTGATTAATTGAGTAATTAATAGAAAAACCTCGGCCCTTGAACTTCTTTTATATTCGCAAAGAGCCCTTAGAGTTTATTCAGTGAAAATAACCCCCAAAGTACTTCTCAATTAAGGCAGAAAGTACAAATAAGCCCTTGAACAAAATAATGTGGAATTTAACCCTACGAACTCTTGGAAATCGGCAAATTTCCCTTTTTGTAACTAATGACGTCATATTTCATCAAAATTCCATTTACCCCTCCGTTAATGGGCACCAAGTCAATCTGACTAGAGCTTTCTTTTTAGTTTTATAATTTTTTTTTTTTTCAAACGACTTTTATAATTTTTGGTTGAACAATTTAAAACAAAATTTTCTTATTCTTTAATATATTTTACTTACATATTAAATAACGTAAAATTAAAATCTTTTATTTTTATTAAAAAAATATTATTATTAAATTATTTAAGTCATTGATAAATAAATTAAGAAGTTATATGACTCAATTATTGACAACATTATTATTTGGGTTAAATTCATGATTAATCTCCTAAACTTACAAAATCTAGACTTTTAAGCTCCTTAACCAAGAAACTGACAGTTAAGCCCTTGAACTACTTGTGAGCGGCAAATGAACATCTTTTTAAGAGAAAATACAAACTCCATCACTTGCAATTTAAGTTGAGAGACTATAGTTCGCGACCATACAATCTTAGGGGCATGATAGTGAATTCAGCCATATATACTATTCAGAGTGATTTTTTAATTCCTTAATTAATAAGCGAAAAAAGGACAACTCAGTCATTGCACCCACAGTATTGCTAAAAGTGAAATGATGAGGAGGAAGAGTATTAAGGGAGGTTACGTGTACGTAGAAATGAAAGTAGAGAGAGGTAGGGCATGCAAAAGTTTTACCCTGTGAGATGAATTATGAGACCTTTGTTCCTTTCTGTACCCATGTTTCTTCTTGTGGCCCACCTCTGCTTGTGGGATCATGTTCCTCTCTTTCTCTCTCATTCACTCACTTCTATTAAGGACGACGCTCTACGCACAAACACCCTGATGCAGATGAGGGTTGGAAGAAGCACAAAAGCTGATCCAAAAGCTAAAAGTTTAAAAGCCTAAAATTAATGAAAGGCTGATCCTCAAACCGAAAGAAAGAAAACCCCTTTTTTCCTTCCCTCGTCCTCCTCATGTTCTAGCTTCCTTGCCCTACCTTTCTCTTTTCTCTCCCCCAATCTCCATAATTACTTCTTTTATATCAGTTCAAGACAGATTTCCATCTAAATCGCACCAAAACCAAGATTAGAATAAACCTTAACCATGTCAACCAATCCCTCTTGTTCCCCAGTCCCCCCTTCTGAGCCATTTTCTTGCATAGAGAATGGTAATAGCAATAAAAGGAAAAGACGACCAGCAGGAACACCAGGTATGTTTTTTTCGATAAAATGGGTATCCAACTTTAACCTGCTAATTTCATGGGTTTTTTTTATTATAGTTTGTTATGCATCATATATTGTTTAATTTCTTTTGAGAAAATAAGGAACAACTTTGAACGGATGCAGATCCAGATGCGGAGGTGGTTTCACTCTCTCCGAAGACACTACTAGAATCAGATCGTTATGTTTGTGAGATCTGCAACCAAGGATTTCAAAGGGACCAAAACCTGCAGATGCACAGAAGGCGGCACAAGGTGCCTTGGAAGTTACTTAAGAGGGAGACGCCGGTGGTGAGGAAGCGCGTGTTCGTGTGTCCGGAACCAAGCTGCTTGCACCATGATCCCTGCCACGCACTAGGCGATTTGGTAGGGATCAAGAAGCATTTCAGGAGAAAACATAGCAACCATAAACAATGGGTCTGTGAAAAATGCTCCAAAGGTTACGCAGTTCAGTCTGATTATAAGGCCCATCTTAAGACCTGTGGCACCAGAGGACATTCTTGTGACTGCGGTCGAGTTTTCTCCAGGTTAGTAATAATTTTCTTATAACACTATTTTATACTTCTGCAATCGTCCAGTATATAAAATAACTTTCCAATATCATTTTTTTTTCATGCCATACTCCCTATTCATCTCCTCCAATATTCCCAACTAAATATAGCTAGATCTATAATTTGAGTATAATCTTCTTTTTCTATTTTTTATTACTACTTTGGAAGAAAGATTTTTTGGGTTCCAAACTCCATCATTACATATTGAATTAATTCCCTCTCAAACCCTTTCCCAACTTCAGTTTTGACTTGAAAAACAAAAAGGAAAAGGAAAAACAAAAGTTAGTTGCTTCTGACCAACATGAAACCTTAATATATCCAGTTTTCTCTGATTTTTTTGTGGATAGTTGAAACACAGTTCCCTAAATACAGTTTCCGTTGGTTATCTTGCTGTTTGTTCCAATAACCCAAAACACTACTTCTACAAAACAATGGTTTTCTTTCTTTATTTACTCCAATATATATAATATTCTCAATTTACAATGTTTCTGTAACATATGTATTAATTTATTTTTTTTAATCAGCATGACATTAATTTAGAATGGCTCTGTTTCATAATAAGTGACGTTTTAAGGAGCGGTATCAGTTTCTTTATTCTTTTAATTATTTATTTATTTTTAAATGAGTTTGATCTCTTCTTTTCCTTGTTTCTACAATTTATCTTCATCAATAAAGACACGTACATGAATATTTCCATTACGTAGAGTCATATACTAGTAATTATTTATTGGACATATGGATAGATGATGCATTTATTTCCTTTTTGTGTAGGGTTGAGAGTTTCATTGAACATCAAGATGCTTGCCATATGGGGCGCATTCGGCCGGAATCTCAAGGGCTGCAGCCGGCAGTTTGCTTGTCCCGAACAGCTTCGAGTCCGAGTCCCTCTAGTGATACCAATTTCAGCACAGTTCCTTGGCCTGGTTTGATGCTGCAGGCCATGCCAAGTACAGAACGTGTGCTGTTTAGTCCTACAAAAAATAATTCTCCCAAAAACGTGCATTACCACAATTTGGAGCTTCAACTCTTAACCACAACAAAACCGGATAATTCTCCAAGGAAGGATGAAATGGAGCACGATTATAATCATTGTACTCAGTTACATCTCTCCATTGGATCATCTGATTATAGTGAGAGTAGTAAAGAGAGTACTGACAAGCCAGCCAGGCTCAAAGAAGCAGCACGCGAGCAGTTGAAGTTGGCCATGGCGGAGAAAGGTTATGCTGAGGAGGCAAGACAGGAAGCCAGGAGGCAGATTGAGTTAGCTGAGCAAGAGTTTGCAAATGCAAAGAGGATTAGGCAACAAGCACAAGCTGAAGTCAATAAGGCTAGAGCCCTGAAAGATGAGGCAATAAAGCAAATCAATTCTATCCTCCGGGAAATCACCTGCCATGCTTGCAAGCAGCGGTTTCAGGCTCCAACACCTCCCTATGATAACTCCCTTGTTTCGAGTTCCAAAAGCAAATCAAGTGTGTGTTTTGATTATTAATATTTCTCTAAGGAATGAGTAGTATTGGAGTGTTATGCCCTGCAATTGCAATTCTTGTGATGTAATTTGCTCATTATTTTTACTAATTACAAGTTTGATGTATATTCCATCTTTTCTCTTTTAAGTTACTTTTTGGGTTGGTTACAAATCAGAAATAATCATATAATCAAAGAGTTATTTACATACGTAATTTCTCATTTTTCCAGCACTATGCAACTGTGTTATTGCATGTTTCCTTTATTGGAGTTGTGTTCTGCTCAATTTTTGTTATTGAACAAGTTCTGAGATGTTTGTTGTGATGCCTTAAATCTCTTATCTGGAAGGAAGAGCACAAGTGTGATATATAAATGTTAAGAGTTAGGACAAAAAATTTGAATTTGAGTTTTTAATATGCATAGACTTTGATTTAAAGAGTAGCTAAGTTAGCGGAGGCTTTGATTTGGGTCATTTTTATTGTATATTTGTGATAGAAGTTAGAGTATACTTTCTTTTGTTGATAAAAAACCTAATTAAATCATTATTATTTCATGTATATAGTTTTTTTTTTTCTTTAATTTTTTATCAATCAATTGTAAAGTTTAGTATTATGCCACCAGCCATTAAATAAAAAGGTTTTCACTTATTATAGAGAGTCTTTATTATTTAATAATATATATTTACAATCTGTACAATTTAATTTATGTACTATTTTAAAAAAAAATTATATTTATAAAAATTTGTTGAAGAGAAAGGGTTTTCCTCCTGAGACACTATTTCATTGGAGTAGTCAAAAGTTTTGTTGCCTCGAGTTTTGGTTGTTTTGGATTATCTATTTGGACTATTTGGAGATCTTTGTAGCCTGAGTGAGTCAGAATTCAGGAAATGAATAACGTCACTGACCAAAAATTTATAACCCAAAAAAATGAAAGCATGATGTGAGGTGATTGATATCAGTATATGCCCAATATTAAATACAAAAACAAAAGCATGAGAGAGAGTCCTCCTTTTTTTTCTTTCTTTTTCATCCACTGCTGTCCCGGACATCTTATAGTGTCTAAAAATAAATGTAAAATGTAAATTTGCATTAAAGACGCCATGTTTTTCAGTGCCACAGTTGTGGGTGTTGATGCCAGAGCCAGACTAAGTCGTCGCTCTCAATTCTCAAACACAACACACAGACACAAACAAACTCCATTTGCATTTATTCAGCGTTCTCATGATAATCAGGGCCATTGGGCAGTGAGCTGACAGCATTTTCCCATTTTTGCAGAGACCATTCAAAGCCTCTTTCAGTACTTTGGACGCCAATTTACTAACTGCATCTGCTTCCTTCCTCTCATCTTTCATGATAATTTTTTTTTTTTGAAAATTATCTTTCATGATAATTAAGACCATTGGGCCTGTTTGGATTATGAAAGGCGAAAGCAACGTTTTGAAAAACTGGGACGCCTGGTCGAACCACTTTGGTTGTTGGTTCAATTAGTTAGATCAATTTAATTGTTGATTCGGTTATCTATTCATAATAAGTTATTTAAAAATAAAAAATAACCCCTTGTAACTATTGAAATTGCTGATCTAGGTGGTTGTCATTGGAGGTTGATTGGGTTTTCTGATCTAAAGCAAAAGAAAAGGAATGTTGTTGGTGAAGTCGATGATGTTCTGCAAAGGGAGAATGCTATTTCAATTGTTAAAGGGGCTCTCGTTCACTAAAGGGCTCTTATTCCTTTAATGAATTTCAACAACAAGGGATTGAAAAGGATTAGAACAATTAGGGCCATGGTTGGGAGCCCATGGAGATGAGGGAGGTGCTTGGGCTTATATGGAGGACCATGTCCTTCTTCTTGATTATTCCTCAAGAATAGATAGAGCAGAAACTTGTAGGTTGAGGATTGTTTGTTGTCAAAATTCCTTACTTTTCCTATGAAACTAATTAAATAAGTGAGGAGGTCCAATAGCTTCTAGCACTCATAATGACTCTTCTTTCTATATTAGTAGTTATATTTAATCAATACAACGATTGTAATCACAATTCTCTAGTTGTAGATAACTCTTTTTACTTAATTGTCTGTATACGTCATATACATAGTTTAAATTTGTCATTAGGCTATAGGTTATGCTTCTAATTTCTATCTTTAGGATATATTGCTTTAGGTTATATTGC